GGGGCAAACTAGGGAGGAACATGGTGATGGTTTGTGGGTAACAGAGTGGCAGGAAAGCTCTGGGGGCTACAGCTTACGGGGGGGGGTGTTAATAAAAAAGAAAATTTAAAATGTATATTAATGTCATACACAAGTATATAAGGCAACAAGGCTTGGCAAATATGTCTATCCAGCAACAATTTTATTTAAAGCACCAGCCGGACATAAGCCATAACCTTCACCAACACAGGTATTAAGTAAAAAGTGCTGATTAACTACTTCTCCCCAACTTCAACAGTCAGCTGGCATCTGGTCTTTAACTATGATAAACATTCACTAAATCATCACATGTTATTTACACGTAAATGAAGAGAAATATTGACTGGATGGCTGGAAATGAAGAACGTTATAAACAAATACCATCATTAAAAACACATGACTTATTTTGTTTTGAAAGGCCAAGTGTACTCCAAATGTCACTTTACTTGGAAAAATATTTTTGAGAATTATTGTCTCTTGAATTTACTCAGAGATTCGATCTATTATAATACAGAAAGAAAAAAAAACATAAATCCTAAATGCATCAGCATTTCATAATTAGCATGCCAGGATCAGCATACTGTTAAGTGTCTTGGCTGTTTGCCTGCTTTACTTAAAGCCAGAGAGAGGTATAATCCCAGTAACGAAGTCTTCTAGCAGCTGTTCTAAGTGACAAGAGAAGTGGCTCATGTAGCAGCTACCTCCAAATGTGTGGATCCATGCTCTGTGGTGGCTGGAAGTTAGCAATCCTGGTGTGTTTGCTCGCTTTTAGTATTAAATATTTAATGCCATATTTTTCCTTAATGGAATGCAGGCACATCTGATCAGTCACTGGGATCATTTAGTAATGCAGTCAAAGTTATCATGCTGCCATTCCACATCAACTCTGTAATTAGATAATTCATCACTTTATTAATTCAAAAGACAGCTTTCTTTACTACATTCCAGCATGCTACAGTAGGGATGCCCAACCGAGCCGATCAGCAAACAGGCTGAATACTTGGTCCTGTATGCACTTGAAACACTCCGTGGCAAGCACACACACACTCCTGACCTCTCAGAGCATGGAGGCAATATTGTTTTCCCACAAATGAGCCTCAGAACATTGAAGTAACAAAGCACCAGTGTACCCAAGATGTGAGAGCAAACAGAACTGAAAATTTAAGATTTAAAACAACAGAGATCACGCCCCATTTTTTTCCTTGCTTTTTACCGAGGGCTACCATTTTTCATTGGGTGAAATGGGCAAAAGGGAACTATTTAGTAATTTTCCTCCATGCTGACTCATACACTTTACTAAAATTGGGAGGTTATACAGAATATCACTTAGATTATTTATTAAATTTAAGTCTACGGGCAGGTGTCAGCCATTACATAACCGTAACTACAACCTCATTGTTTACTTACATCTTGTTCTTAACATCTCGATCAAAAATATTAAATCAGAATTTCTTCTTATGTTAGGAATTAGCATGATTCTTGTTTTAACACATTCTCCACCAATAAAAAAGAATAAGTGAAAAAGACTTTACTCAGAATGAAACTGAAAATTTAAGTATCACAATACAAAAAAAAAAAAAAGCCTTTTAAAATCCTCACGTTCAAAAAACACAACCACAATGTATGTTATGAAAGCAGCTGCCACTAACAGCATTAAAAATTACAGTTTATAAATGCAAGTTCTGGTGGTCACATATGTAGCCTAAAGAACAAAAACAACGTATAACCATTTGTTTTGTTTGAAAGAAAAATGGGAAAACATCTTTTCAAACAGTTGTGGAATTTATAATCAAAAAACTCTGCAGCAGTTGTACAATATTGCAAAATTTAAAAGTACTTTGTAGACCTCTGGAAACTAACAACGGCATGTGTTATGTGGTCAGAAGGGCACTTCTGGTTTTCTTGCTTCCAACTTAGCCTCTGTTTCTGAAGTGTTTTTTTTTTTTTAGACAACTAACCATGTTCTACTTTATTGTTTAGCTCACCATATTTCTATTCAGTCTACCAAAGGCATTTTTAGAAAAGGAAATTTTAAGCCCCCCCCCCCAAAATGAAGGGAATTTTTCTAGAAACCTGTACAATAATCTTCAAAAATCTACATGTGCAGAAAACAAGCTCAAAATCAGGTCTACTGACATTAAGTTAGGCTGTTACTACACATTACCAGTAATTATCAATATATATTTTGAGGGACAGAATTGAGAACTACACACACTCCATGTCATTTCAGTGAATTACAACATGACAACAAAAGGACTCATATTTTAATTCCACCCCTTGAAAACGCATGTGTGAGAAACATTCCATTCACAACAGGAAGCAACTATCATCATCCCTACACAAAATCCCATGAACGACTTGGAAATTATGACGCTGCTGTGAACGCAGGGCAAGTAAATGATTTCTGGACAGTTCGGCTGAAATCATCCAGTTGTTGACCCTCCCTGGTGGCGCAGCGGGCTGAAGCTCAGCACTGCAAAAATGGCCACAGTCGCTTCTGTGCAAGTTCGATCCCCGCCTCAGAGTGACCCACAGGGCGCAGCAGCCCTCTCCTGACCCAGCCGCTGCTCCCCTCAGCAGTGTGCTTTGTTGATCCACCTGTTCTGCTCCCCGCTCTGTCTTGGTGGGTCCTCTCAGCACCACTGGCCTGTACTCCGCCCCCCCAAAAAAGAAAGAGAGAAATCATGCCAGTTCCTAGCAACATTTATTCTCAACATGGTCGGAACGGCTCAGCTCGCTAAGAGACACCAACACTACACAACTGTGGCAAACACCCGACTAATTCCAGCTGTGTCCGCAGCCCCGAGAGCCAGAAAAAGCGATGAAAGCGACGCTCTGGATTCAGATACAAGCAAAGCTGTGAGGTAGGGCAGCAAGCATGGAAACGAGTGGCGTGTCTCACTCAACGAACTTCGCAGCTAACACTCACTTAGACTGTGGAGTAGGTAACGGCATTCCCAAAGAGGGATGAAGAATTTGGAATTGAGAGGATTTCACTTATTAGGCGAGGAAGCTACTCGACCATCATCCGATCCAGCCACCCACTGAAGTCTGCTCTCTTTAATCATCATTGTCTCACCTTCTCAAGCTTCCATTAGAAGGCGCAGTCGTGGCCCTCCCTGGGAGCACAGCGGGTTACAGCGCAGCACTGAGAAGCTAAAGCCGCTTCCGCATGAGTTCGATTCCCACCTGCCCCGGAGGTGACCCACATGGCGTGGCAGACCTCTCCTGACCCGCCCGCTGCTCCCCTCAGCAGTGTGCTTAGTCCATCTGCCTGTTCTGCTCCCCACTCTGTCTCTGCTGAAGCCTCTCACCCTTCGCATCTCTGGCCTGTACCCCAGTTCTGTATGAATAAATAAATCTTAGGAAAAAAAGAAGGCGCAGTCGTATGCACCTTTTCTATATTTGTAGCCATGTTTATAAGTCAGAAAGTAGATTGAAAATAGCAGTTGCCATATCAAGAGGAATCCACGTCAAACCTAATTTTGTGTGAAGGGAGAAGTAGAAAGAAAAAAAGCCGGGGTAGGAAGGAGAGGTACTTGGAAAATGGAGGTAATCATTTTTTCTTCCCTCAACATTTTGACAAAAGCCAGCAGACAAACGTGGTCTGATTGTTGATGAACAATAAACACAGGCATCTCTCCTGTGCTAACACTCACAAATACCTCCCGTTCCTCTCCTACTCCTGGCCACCTCTACAGTCAGTGGGAACCACCACTTTATTGGCACCTTATATTTTTATTTCCAGTTAGCAGAACGCACAAGTAACAAATGATCAAAATTTAAAAAGAAAAACCTGCTAGGCAAATAGAGCTTCAAGGAATTCACACGTTTCTTCATCCAACCAAATCGACACCCTGCAGCGCCCTCTATGGGAACTCTAGAGGTACCACCAGCTTCGTGAGCGCTGTGTCAGCACAGCGTAAAACATTTTACACATCAAGCTTTTATTCAAATTCTTATTTTAATCACTAAATATAAGAAACATATTGCATAGGAGAGTACTTGTTTAAATTTTCCAGAGCAGGGGAGGCCAATGTAGTTTTCCCAGCTCGGGGGGTTGGATGAGCCAGCATTCTCTCATCCTTATCAGCACTTCTAAACATTGTCTGCAATACTGCCCATCACATAGCCTCTTCTGAAATTGATGCCATTCATTTCTACTTCCTGTGTGAAATCCTCTTTGACACTCTCCCCTGGAGATATCCTTTCTCCTTTCTATTCCTCATAGTTTTTATAGTCAATCAGCATATTCAAAAGTGGGCAGGATGTGTTTATACAACAAATTCCTATAATTAAACTACAACTGTCAATTATTATTCACATGTGTTTAGAGGGGGTAGACAGTAGCAGACTAACATTGGTGCTAAGGAAGTGGAGGAAAAAGAGGAATATTTGGAGATACGAGCCCCAAAAGTGACTGTATAATCATTTTTGAAAAGACCACTTCAGGAGGTCACAATGAAGACCACAGACGCAATATTAAAATAAACTTGTTTTTGATACCTCCTAAGAGACATTTAAATGGATTTTTAGCAACTATCAATATTTTAAAATCAGACACAGTTATATTGCCACATAGAGTTTACTTTAAAATCAGCTAGAATTTATCAAAAAGCGGATTCAAATAAAATTTTCTCTCTTCAAAGACACTATAACACCAGCACCAAACAAAATGAGTGCAATAGCAAACTAAAACTTGTGGGAAAGAAAAGAACAGGCTGTTTCCTTCATAGAAAATAAAGCTTAGTTTTTTTCTGAGAATAATCTTTAAGAGCTGACGATTATACCATAGCCTTTAATTCAAGTATTGATTTTTAAGCATGCAAGTGCCCTTTTCAATATAAACAATGCATTTTCTAACTATTCATTAAGGTGGGAATGATAGAAATATGAAGGGTCGTCAGTTTTCATGGGGCAACAGCAATATGGGTGAAGGTCTGACATGTAACCTTAGTAAAGAAACCAAACTCAGCACTTACTTTAGCAAAGGCTTCAAAAATGTCAAAGGTGGACGGCAGTTGAGAAGCATCCTGGATTTCTTCTCTCATGAAATGTTGAAATGTTATTGCCAGCTGCCTGAGGCCTTCTTTCTTATCTTCAGTCAGTTTGTTAATATCTTTTTAAAAAATAATATACAGGACACAATCAAAAGTGAACCTTTCATGGATAATTCTCAGGTCCTCACTGACAACTGTTAAATCAGATATTTTCCACCTGAGAGTCCATTCTGATGGGGAGCAAATAAGTCTCTTTTTTAATTTTCTGAAAACTATATTACCGTGATACATACATTATTAATTAAACTCTGCCAAACTTCATCTATGATATAAAATCAAACACCTATCGGCCCTCCCTGGTGGCGCAGCGGGTTAAAGCACTGCAATAAGAAGCTGAAACCACTTCCGCTTGAGTTCGATTCCCGCCTGCCCCAGAGGTGACCACAGGGCGCGGCAGACCTCTCCTGACCCGCCCGCTGCTCCCCTCAGCAGTGTGCTTCATCGATCTGCCTGTTCTGCTCCCCACTCTGTCTCTGGTGAAGTCTTTCGCCACCCCTGAGTCTCTGGCCTGTACCCCAGTTCTGTATGCACAAATAAATAAATCTAAAAAAAAAAATCAAACACCTATCAAAACAAAATAAATATGCGTATAGCTGAAAATGTATTCAAACCCAAATCAGTAAAGATGTGTGTCACAGATTTTCTACATCACCATCTCCTATGCTTGTTCAAACCAGCATAAATTCCTAATGAATTAAAACAGATTTTCCACACAACAACTGATAATACGGCTATGACTAGCAGATCAACACCAAAATCTCAAAAAAAACAGAAAGTGAGAACTAAAAGGTTCAGCTAAAGTTCAAATAAGTGAAATCTGTCCTATAAAAAGTACATAAAGAGGGTCCTCCCTGGTGGCACAGCGGGTTAAAGCACAGCACTGAGAAGCTAAAGCCGCTTCCGCATGAGTTCGAGCCCCGCCTGCCCCAGAGGTGACCACATGGCGTGGCAGACCTCTCCTGACCCGCCCGCTGCTCCCCCAGCAGTGGACCTCGTCAATCTGCCTGCTCTGCTCCCCGCTCTGTCTCTGGTGAATCCTCTCACCCACCGCATCTCTGGCTTGTACCCCAGTTCTGTACAAATAAATAAATAAATCATTTAAAAAAAAAAAGTACATAACGAAGAAAACATGAATCAACCACAGAAATCTCAAGTTCAAGTTACTTCCAGTTTGCAGAAGCACAATGCAACACTGCGTTCAAACAGAAGGAGGCTCAAAGTGAAGACAGCAGCTCTAAAAACTCACTTTCATTTATACCACAAGGGGATGGAAGGCTAAGAGTGCAGATTTCAATTAATAACGTTTGAAAGCATTTAACTTAAGGCAGCGTGTATGACCCTGCTTCGGAGCAGGGCTAATGTGAATAATAAAACTCACAGAAAGGGTGTTAATTACTCCAGTAATATACTAAGAAAAAATGACTCATCAGTTCTGTATTACAACCTGAAAATATGTGTCAGGTTGAACTAGAGCATCACTGTTTCTCCTGTCAGGTTTCCGTGTTTTCTTTCGATTACTTGTTCAATGGAATAATTAAGGCAATGATTCCTTAAATAATAATTCATTATCCTGAGCACTTAGGATCCTAGAACCATAAATCTCTACTCGATCTTCTGATCTCCAACCTGAAACATTCAACTAAGCAGCAAATGCACTGTGGGAGCTAGCTTTGGGTGGAAGTCATTTACATCCTCAAAGAAGAAGAGCAGCCTGACACCGACTGACCACCCAGCTCTGGAAAGGCTTCTGTCTTAAATAGCCTGGTCATGGCCATGTAGCTGAGGAGAGCGGTCCGTGCAGCAGGGAAACTCTCCACTGTACTCTTACTTTCCTTAATATTTAAAGGACCAGTGAACCTACCGGTTCCCAAGAAGCACCCTGAAATTAAACATTGACATTCAAAAAAATAACCGAAAGCGGGAAGAAAGGGAAAAAGGAGGGAGAGACAGAAGAAAAGTTCCTTGTCACCTGGACTTCCTGCCTGTCCTGCACGTTAGCCTGAAAGAAGTTCATGTGTCAGTCATACACAGAATCATGACAAATTCTGTGAGATTTGCCTCAAGGAATAAAGAGGCAGGAAACACAGCCAAAAATAAAACAATTTACCAGCTTAGCAAATAAATGGTAGAAATATTTTTCAGATGCTGTTAAATAATCACTTACTTGACTCCAGATCATAAAATGAGTAAAGTGTCTCCGACTCGGAGGGTGTTTCTTCCATCTATGAAATTCAAGGGGAAAACAGCAAAATTAACTTAATGTTTGTGTGTCTTTAGATATTTAAATAGAACTCTACTAAAAGACAATAAAAAGACAATAATGTTCTATATTATTCCTTCTCGTGACCTTCTCAGCATGAATAATTTAATCAGTGGCAACTCTATATTTATGTACTTGTTTAGTGCCTACCTATAGTAAATTTGGACTTTTTGTTTGTTTTAGTGAGGCAAATTGTGTAACTCTATGTGAAGATTTAGGGGGTAGGCTCACACCCCCTCAGATCCGTCACCACACCACACTACCACCAAAGCCCCAAAGCCCTGGAGTCCTTCAGCAAGAGCATGAGTTCTCCCCCTCTTTAATCCCATCCATGCCCCAATCAGTAACAATTTTAAAATAAAAGCAAAGTGACAATTTAACCCAACAGTTCAATTTCCAAGAACAACTTTTATAAACATTCTCATTTTCTCCCTCAGCTTTACCAACACACTTGTATCATGGAACACATTTTATTATTAGTTATTAAAATTAATTACGTATTACAACCTGTGGAATTTCTTGGGCAAGTTACTCAACTTTAGTCCAGAGAAGTCCGTCTCCTTATCTAAAACAGAGAAGGAGCAGGAGCCGCTGACTGATTGGGTTGTTACGGAGTTTAAATGAGTTACAGTAAGTACAGAAATGAACAGAAGGCCTGGAATTAGTACGGCTCAACAGAAGGGAGCTATTATTATAATCCTCGTTCTGTATCAGATTCTGATTCAACAGGTCTGAGGTAGAGACAGAGCTCACCCCACTGATAATTCTGTAGTAACCTATTTCTGCTCTACAAGTGGTTCTCTGTATTTTCAGTACTGATAAAAGCAAGAAAAGAAAAAACCCAAACTCGAGTTCAATAGTTATTATACTTTTAACGTTCAGTAATTAAGGAAATACATCCTGACAAGGTGCTCTAGATTTATTAATGTTTGAAATAAATTTGTATTTTCAAGTTCAATATAGTATACACATTTTAAAAGATCAGTAAATATATATATGGCAGAGGTTAGTTTTTGGACTAAGCAAACAGCAAATAATACTCTTCTGGTACTTTAAGTCCATTTTTAGTAATAAAATATATTGACATAAAATGTTGTATTACTTTTAGATGTATAACCATAATTTTATATTCTGAAAGCTCTCCATTTAACTTTATAGGTTAAAAAAAAAAGTTAATAAACAACAGGACAAGACAGGCTGGAGTCTGAGATAATTTGAGAAACAGATATTCATGCAAAAGTCTGGCAAAAAAAAAATTTTTTTGAAAGGTGTCACCAGATGGATTTCACAGAATCTACTAGATATATTGGCAGAGAAAGGAAAAGGACTAAAGAAACAACTTCAATGAATCTTAGTTATAAAAAAAGAAAAAGGCTAAGTTATCTTCAATGTAAATTAAACTATCAACTAATCAAAATCCCATTTGAAGAGGTAACCAAAAAATTATACACCTGTCTGGTGCATTTCTACTGTGTATCTCAGTACAAAGTAAAAGCAATAAGATTACTAACATCCCATGCCCAAATAGAGGCCTGATGTCTCTCTGCCCAGGAACTCACGGGGTGATCAAAGTGGCACTGTGCACTTCACCACCGTGACCTCTGCTGTGCTTAATTAGAAGCAAGTTCTTGTTTTAAAATGTTCCCTGGGAGAATCCACCTCTACCTCAACTTAACAAGTGTTAAATTCATCCTTAAATATAAGCGTCCATGCAACTTCAACTGCTTTTGTTAAATTAAAACGCAAGCATATTTCACAAGTTTTATACTCACAAGTTTGAAAACAACTCTGCCAAGAAGTCGGACAGAGTCTGGTGGGTATCTGGGTTTGCAGTCTTTAAGGCATTTGCATTCCCGCTTGTGGTCCTGCCAAGCTTTTTTCTGTTTCGACAAGAGAGGGGACAAATCATGAGAGACATAAAAATTTAACGTTCATTTACACTGGTTTTGAACACTGCGAGTCATCAACGTTAATTTAATTCCAACAGCCTAAATATAACTGCAAAATAGAAAATGAAAGCAATATTCTAGCACTGCTAATGACCTAGGATTCAATTTTTGCCAAGTATGCAATTTCCAGGCATGGACATTAAGAGCTACAGATTTACCTTTGTCCTTTAATTGCCCACTGGCTATTACCTGGCTGATAGAGTCCAAAGAAAGGATGATTATGGCTTACTTAATAATTTATAGGATAGTCTTTTATCTGACTAAGTAGGGTCCAAAAATAGACAGTGATTATGAATACAAGAAAAAAATATCATTCCAAATTAGAAAATAAAACATATGGTTCAGGAAAATCAAAACGGGGCAGATAACCTGAATTTGAAAACCACAGAAATAGCAGACTAACATACAAAAAAAAAAAAAGAAAGAAAGAAAGCTTTCTGGTTTTGAGGCCATAGAAAGAGATTATTAGTTAAAATGACGCAATGTCCAGTTTGTTCTGGCTTATATTAATGGTGGCCTTTTTTTATTATGGAAAAGTGTCTAGTTTGGAAGATAAATTATATGGTCAGGGCCCTCCGTGGTAGTACAGTGGGTTAAAGCACAGCACTGAGAAGCTTAAGCCACTTCAGCATGAGTTCGATCCCCACCCTGGAGGGGACCCACATGGTCCCACAGACATCTCCTGACCTGCCCGCTGCTCCCCTCAGCAGTAGACTTTGTGGATTGGCCTGTTCTGCTCCCCACTCTGTCTCTGGTGAAGCCTCTCACAGCCCCTGCACCTCTGGCCTGTACCCCAGTTCTATATGCATAAACAAAAAATAAATAAATCTTTTTTAAAAAAATTATATGGTCACTTAACCTAGGACCATACTAATACACTGGTGTGGCTGAAAACATGAATGAGCCAGTCACCGAAATTAAAGCACTAGAGCTGTAAGGAGTAAAGGTTAGGATATTCTGTCCTGTGTCTAGGATCAGAAATAATGTGGCTCCCTTCCATGGGTCTATTTCTTTATGGAAACGAAACCCAAAGCGCCTGATGCTCAGCTCTGGTGAGTAGCTACAATATTCTAAAAAAAAAAAAAAAAAATTCATCTGGAGGTTGGAAACTCCATAGTTTCAAACTGAAAAACCTGATGTCCCCACTCATTCTAATTTCAGAAATTATTTAAAAAAAAAAAAAAGTTTCCCTATTTCCAGGTCTATGAAATCCCCCTAAGAGGAATGCTTTTTTCTCCACTTACAGCATAAATGGGAAAAACAACTGAAAACTTCAAAAGTATTATAGGTACATTGAAACTGACTCAGATTCAAGTTCCAGTCAGCGGTTTGCTCAGAATGACTGCCCGTGTCAAGGCGTTGGAGGAGTCTTGGTCTTTCTGCAGCGATTATCTTAGAGACACTGTCTCTAAGAAATGCATCACTCTGTCAAAATTCCTCCTTTCATTTCTTCCCATTCACTCTGCCAATGCTCCTTTGAATGTGATATGCATCATTCCTTTCTGTATTTATACTTCACAAAATTCTAAACCAGACTGAGTTCCTTCAAAGTAAAGATGTGTATGAAATAAAGTTGCAAAATTAGAAACAAAAAAAATGTTAAAATCATGAAAAAAGTTCTCTAGCATTTACTTAGCATTCTACAGCATGTCAGAAACAGAACTAAGTAATTAAAAAAGAACATTTCACAATAAACTGAGTGGTCATTATCATCCTTATATTAAAGATGAAGAAAGAAAGACTCAGTAGCTGGGATCTAGCTACCAAATGACCTAAATATAATAGGGGAAAATAAAAATTCTTAGTATGCAAAACACGAGAGCTAAGTAATTGCAATGTTTATACATTACACTTATGTGAGTTGCCTTACAGGCAAGGCAAAAAAGAAAACATAATGGCTTCGATAATTCTCATCTGACAGAAAAGAAAGACGCATAGCTTTACCAAGTATTAAATCACAGGAGGGATTTATTTATTCGTGGTTATGAATCCACATATTGAACAATGCCCTCAACAATATAGTTCACAACTATCATGCCTTTCACATTGCTATTGCAATTGTCTGTGCTCACTTAAAGGTATACTATTAACATATAATTCATTGAAAGAAAAGGTTTCTATTGTTCAGGGAGCTTAACTTGATTGGCAATAAGAACTACCTATATATAAAATGCTTAAAAACTATAAGGTTCCATGGATCAGTAAGTTTCAGAAACACCACATAATGTAGCCACCACTTAAGAGATTAAAAAAAAAAAATTAGCTTACCAAAAGTTACATTAAGGTCTACAATCAGAAATGTGTATAACTTATTTAACACAGAGTCTGCCCTGATACCATCATCCTTTAGCTAGGCTGGTGCCCACTACCTCAGAAACCTACCTACTTTTTCCTCCCTCTGATCTTTGACGAAAGTGGGTTAAGTACACAAATTCATGTTTGCACTGAAAGAAAATTAGAATGATGATAATTTGATATCACTTCCTGATTGAAGAGAGAACCATAACTTTGGTGCTGGAGTTTTCATTTGGTAGTAAAAGTTGAAAAGCCTGAAAGAGACTCTAGCCTGTGTCAGCCCCAAGAAAGCCTCTGGCTCTATTTCAAAACCTGGATAAGTACAATAGGATTGTACCCAGTAAAGCAAGGCAGAGATGGTTTGGATTAAAAGCTCTCAAGATTTTAATCAAGGCTGGTTCTCCTACAAGAGTTTTCCCACAATTCCTTTGTTAAAAACCTTCAGTTTTGAGCAGCTCATTCTCCTTGTAGACCAGAGTGATGGCTCTACAAAATGAACCCCTAGGTAATGAATCAATTGACCTGTATAATTAAAAACCCAAATTTTAGAGAATTCCTGTCAAAAAGAGTTTAGATTTCTAACGTAATTAACATTAGCTAGACAAAATGTTCTTAAGGATATTCTTAGATTGCAAGAATAACTCAGACAAACACACTTTATCTTTATTTCTTACTATGATCTTAAAAACCATGTTTGTAAAATATTAATTGTTATGATTAATCATTCAGCTTCCCCCATTACATCTTACCATAAGGCTCACTAATGTAATTCCATTAACAAGGCTTACAAAGAAATCTTTTAAGTAACTGCACTGGGCTTTGAAGCAAAACTTGACAATCATGTGAAAAAGAATTAAGTAACCATCATTCAACAAATTTTAACCTTGGTCTAGACCAAAAGGACATAGTATATAGTTGCCAGTTATTCAAAGGCAACCTTCTTGATTTACTTTTCCCGATTCTCTTCCACGACTGCAAATACACAATGTAATTAAGATTTTGTTCACAATCCTAACTGTAATGTTTTCTGTTGTTGTAATTGAAAGTGAACAATAGCCACAAGTAAGGATGTCAGACAAAGGAAACTAAGACACAAGACAACAGAAGAGTGTTAGATGTGAACCAACATACATGAAGATGCGATTCACCTCCATGTGTCAGTACATGTGTGACTCAAACATGTCAGAATTCACACATTGTCATGTTTTACATTCTACATAATGAGTGAGAACATAATCAGTACTTCTCAGGAAAATCCCAATCTTGAGAGCAAACAGGGAAAGTGATGTGGGTGCTGATGTTTGTCACAAAGCTTGGAGCACTTAGTACCCAGAGCCAAGCCTCAGACATCCTCGAGAGAGGACAGTTCCACACAGCAAAAAATTGCTCCAAATCCAACATTACTCACAAATATCCTATCAGATGTTCTGTGAGTATGACAAATAGGTTGCTAATTATCTGAGCCTAAAACTAAACTCCCTTTTGTATCTAAAAAAAATTTGCTTTTATGAAGTCTTATTTTTTTTTAAAGATTTATTTATTTGTGCACACAGAACTGAGGTACAGACCAGAGGCTCAGGGGCAGCAAGAGGCTTCACCGGAGACAGAGTGGGGAGCAGAACAGGCAGATCGACGAAGTCCACTGCTGAGGGGAGCAGCGGGCGGGTCAGGAGAGGTCTGCCGCACCCTGTGGGTCACCTCCGGGGCAGGCGGGGATCGAACTCATACGGAAGTGGCTTTAGCTTCTTAGTGCTGCACTTTAACCCGCTGCGCCACCAGGGAGGGCCTGCTTTTACGAAGTCTTACTAGCACTAAATTTTCTAAGTAAATCAAGGGAAGGCAGCACTTTAAAAAAAAAAAAACTTAAACAAGAGTTAATGAAAATATTTCATAAAATCATATCACTGAAGGTAAAATCACTTTAAGTTCCCAAGGCAACAAATCTTAGGACCTTTATTTTTTATTTCCCTTCTCATAGTAATGCTGGATAGATTAAAGTACATGAGCTTAATTATGTCTTCTAGTCTAATCAAACCTGAGCATTTGCATACTAAAATATAATATTTTGTTGTAAGTTGTTTATTTTGGGGGGTTGGGGGGCCATCAATACATGAGGGGCTCACCCTCATTTCTGAAAGTTAGAAAATAGAGAGCAAGAGGCTGAGAAACAGGGGAAGGTAACTCCAAAGCCTTTTCTGAGAGGGGAGCTAATCTGTCAGGCAGAAATCTCTAAGGATGTGGAATCAAAGACTAAGGCCAGAGAGAGAACTGGGGTGAAAAGTGACTGAAACAAGAAGTAGCTAAAAGTCTGTACGGCCAAGAGCTGCAAAACACTGAGTTATGGGCATGGTTTTGAGTAAATACTGGAGTATTATATAAAAGAGAGAACCTGGTAGACTTTGATGCTAAAGATTTCACTGATCCAGACGCTGACTTTCTAGTTAGTCTCCCTGCCCCAAACTTGCTGGCTCCATCCTATGATCGCCCACAAGCAGGTGCCTTAGACAGGTGGCAAGTTCTTGAGCGTCTGTGACCTCGCTTTGGGCCGACCCTGCCGGTCTAGGCATGTCCCCAGGAGGGGCTGGGTAACTGGGTGTTTTCTTGGGAAACTATTACCTTTCTTCTCTTCCCTCTCTGTGGACACTAGTGTATTAACATTCTTTCAGCTAAGAGAATGCTTTGTCTTCACGCAGCGCATGGCAGAACCCACACAGAGCACGTAAGTTAGGGAAGGTAGTTTGTACTAGTAACGATCCCAAACTGCAATCCGCACTGGCTTCTCAGAGACAGCTCATTAATGCGTGGTACCTCCTAACAATCACCAAACTAGCGAGCCAATGTTATGTCCCCCCAGGGCACACATATTATAGATTTTATGCTATAAATTCACATTCTCTCTATCAATTTTTATTCCAAATGCTTTTGCCTCCTGTTCATTACTGTTCATAATTCCGCTTGTCAGTTTAATTTTGCGATGCTTTGTAGCTATCCACAATAATTACAATGTTGAGTGCTATACCTTAAGGTTAAAATAAACAGAGCAGTTTAAATGCATATGTCCTGGCCAACCGTGGGCTCCCACACCGCCATTACAAACGCCTCCCATCCCCCATCCATCCCAGCCTAAGGACGGGCTGCTGTTATATATGACACCTTTCATCTTGCTAGCTATTTTCCCATTACCTTCAACAGTATATCTAATGATGACATTATTATAGATGCTACAGTAAACAGCTAATATACGTGGTAAAAAATACATGCTCTATCATGAATCAAAGTGACAGGCCCACCCACCAAACTCCCTCTACTCATTCTATTCATAAAATGGTTTGATTTGGTTTTGTTTTCCCTCTAGAATACAGACAACAAGAGGAAGTAGCATTGGGGGGAAAAACATTCATAGAAAAGAGGAAGTAAATGCTGGCGTAAATGAGATTGGAAGGAAGTCCATCGAAGGGGAGTCTCGGGCAATATGGCAGCTCCGTGGTTCTATATTCAGTCTTTCAAGCGTGAAATCCCCCAAAACATATATTTTTATTTTTGTGTTTCTTGGAATGCATCTCACTAAAAATGAAATAACACAAAAATCCAAGAAACAAAAGAAGAAATACAATATTTAATGAAAACTAAACCTAGTCACAATGTAAGCAAGAATTTAAGGTTAGAAAAGAAACGAAAAATCTGGAGTCTGGGCCCTCCCTGGTGGTGCAAGCAGTTAAATCTCAGCACTAGGGAGCTGTCCGCAGCCCTTGCGGCAGCCGGCCAGGGAGGGACCCACAGGGCGCGGCAGACCCCTCCTGTCTCCCGGGGCTCCCCTCAGCAGTGTGCTTCCTCAATCTGCCTGTTCTGCTCCCAGCTCTGTCTCTGGTGAATCCTCTCACCCCCACATCTTGCCTGTACCCCAGTTCTGTGTGCACAAATAAATAAATCTTTAAAAACAAACCCAAAAAAGGCATAAAATGTGAAGGTTTCCCCTATTTTCAGTCTCTTTTTTTACACAAAGGTCATGTGGGGTGTATTTATTTTTTAATTTTTAAAATATGTTCACTACATCGGCCTTCACTTTTGCAGTGTGCATTTTCCCCTGAAATCCCCACCGCCCGTTCCCCGGGCACCGTCACCGCAGGCCGCGCTCCTCCCACGCCGTCCTGGCCAGTCTTACCTGGCACTTGGCGCTGCAGTATTTGGCGACTCGGCATTGAGAACACCGCATCAGCTTTTCCTTCCTGTAAAACAAATTAATTTCACATTAGGTAATGAGTGAAAACTGCATAGAGTTGAAGTACGAAGACATAAATCAACATGTTGATGCCAGTGTGAACTGTTCACTCTGTCCTTTAAGATAGAGGTTTTCACGTCGATAAATATCTTCCCTTTCACAAGTACATGGGAACTAATGTTCTTTTTGTAATCATATCATTATGTACACAAAATTAACTACTTTAAATGGCATTAAGTTTATTCACACTGTTGTGCAAACACAACCACTGACTTCTTTTTCAAATATTTAACTAAAATACAAATTCCCATTTAGACAAAAAAAAATTCTACTCCATACAGATTTTAATCTCCCCTGTGGAATTTAGACTATAATCCATCAACTCTCTGAAAGTATCCTATACTCTTAAAATATTAAAATTTTGCCTTAATTTTACAAACTGTGATAGTTGTTTTAATATACTTTTGTGGAAAATAAATGTTATTAACTTAATATGTGAAAAAGTCTTTATTTTGCCACTTGAATAACTGAATAAAGTGTGAGGGTTAGCCTGGTCTGACATTCCTTATCTCTGAAAATATTATGTTATGTCATTTAATTTTTACAATTTATTGGGCTGATTTATTTTCACTTACCCTTCTGGGTGTACAAACATCAGCTACAAATTCGGGGCTTTCTTATTTGTTTTGTGAAATGTATTTTTCTATTGATACCACTGCTTTATATTCTTGATCACTTTTTCACAATGGAGACTCTCTCCCCTCGGGTGTGATCACCAGAGTTCTCCCACCACCAATTCTCCCACACTCCCCCACCACGGCCCACTGTGAGCACCCACTTTCCAGCTCCACTCCCCTTTCCTCCCCCCTCCCCTACTGGATGGTCAAATCCTATAGCATCCTAGCATTTGCTAGACCTCATGTGAAGGAAATTCTGGCAATCTAAAGGAGAGGGAATTTTAAAAGGCTCCTTCCAATTCCAAAATTATTTTATTCTTCTTCTCTTGTGCAACTAACAGATATAAATAAACTTTGAAGGTGACAAAAATTGTGTAGATTATAAGGCAAAGCACATTCATCACAAGAGAAGTGATAAACATACAATTTTCACAGATTTCAGAGCCATCTCATTTGCAAACCAACTGATTATCTGAAGAGTCCACCCAGAACTGGAAATTCAGTGCCCCAGACACAGGGGTTCATAGAGCATCACAATTTAAATCCTCTCTTCCAAGTGAAGACGGAGCCATAATTAGTTTTTCCAACAGGCTAAGCAACTGAAACGTGGAAAGGAAAAATGGAACAAAATTAAATATTCCTCCAGTAAAAAAAATTTAAATTATAGATGGGTATAGGGAGTAATCACAGTCTCTGAGAACTCAGAGAAAAGGGGAATTAACTGACTCCCCAAACTCAGAGAAAAGGGGTGTTAACTAACTCCCCAAATTCAAACAGTAGGGGTACTTTCTGATTCAAGGAGGATCTGTCATTTTTTGTTAATTAGAAAAAAGTACCCTACTATTTAGAAAAACTAACCTAAAATGATGACAGTGGCCAAACAGAGAAGGGGTAAATCTTCCTGAAAAGAATGAAGGGGGCAAATCCCAGTGACTCAGGTTCCCCTGGTCCTAGCAACTAGATCCATTTCACACCTCCTATAGAAGAGAAAATGCAGGGCCCCCCCAGGCAACCAGTTAAAGCACAGCACTATGAAGCTGTCCAGGCCGCTGAGTTTGATCCCCACCTGGGGGCTGATCCCCAGGGCGCGGCAGACCTCTCCTGTCTCCCCGCTGCTCCCCGCAGCAGTATACTTCCGTCATCTGCCTGTTCTGCTCCCCACTCTGTCTCTGGTGAGTCCTCTCACCCCGTCCCCAACTCTGGCCTGCACCCCAGTTTTTGTATGCATAAGATAAATAAATAAATAAATAAATCTTTAAAGGTTGACCCCACGTAACCAAGTACTGGGCTGTTTCCCAGGGAAGTTCCTCAAGCTGGTGAAAATCTACACTAGAAAAAAGAAAATATCCCAAATAAAAGCATGTTGATCTACGAGGGGCAGTGAAACTACTTTTATTCTGACCAAATAGAATAAAGGAAACCACTATGCATGAAGAACTCCCTTGGGCATAAATATTCCTAATAATACAGCCAAGGTGCTTCCGTTTGTGTAGAGGTGGTGATTATGTTGGCTTGGGCCAAAAGGCCCCCCCCTTTTTTTTTTTTAAGTTAAAGAGATTCACAGCCACGACCAAGTGGTTTTTAATACAAAGGAGCACATGTGGTCAATATGATACAGATTCATACCAAGAGAAAACAGAACTGGGTAGGATCCATTTTTCTGTATGCCCTATCATTTTAGTTCACATTGATAACAGTCAAAGGGTAAACAAGAAAGTGTAGTTGTTAACATTGTGAGGGAAATTAATTTATGATTCCTAGACACCATAGCTTCTTGGGAAAAGCATAATTTGAACCCACAGTAGTATGTAGAGAAAAATGCCAGAGGAACTGAGCCAGGTTAGTGCAGACAGGCAGCATCTCTCGGGTACTGTCCTGTTCACGGTCCTCGGTCTCCCAAGTCAAAGCTGCTGTCGGGGGGAGCTCGCTCCCTGACAACACAGACTTCAAGGGCCCACAGGGCACCAGTGTCCCCCGAGAGCCATCAGCACTCAGGGCTCGGGCCGCGGGAGGCGCCACAGTCCGCTTCCAGGAGTTCAGGCGCCAGAGAGCAACGACACAGACCCTCCCTCCCAGGGAAGGAAAGGGCGAGGGAAACAGCGCAGTGCGGGGGGAAAAAGCAAGTCCCGATAGGTAAGCAAGAAGGTTTCTGCGGTTTACAGTTCAAAATCTGCAGTTACAGGGAATACACCTGAAAGGAGAAAGCAGGCAACATGCATGAACAATTGAACAATGATGGAAAGTATACACATACATATTGATAAAATAAGAATATATAAAGTAAAATATATTTACATTATAGGTTATTTTTATATATTTATAAAAAGCAACATCCACCTGCACAAGCCTGGCCGCCTCTCTGCAGGTGCGCTGACAATGTCCTAACACCAAATGCTGAACCCGTTACCGTCGGTTCTGCTGTGAATGTTACCTGCATCGTAAGGGTTTTGCTGCTAAATCTAACATTCACCGAAGTCTCTATTACTAATAATTTTAATTTCCTCAGAAAATTAACTTCAAAGTGGTCTGATTTAAGAAGTGAAAGCTGTTTTGTGGAAGTTTCATTTGTGTAAATTGGAATCAGAGAACAGTTACATCTGCAATAATATTAAAAGGCAATGATGACTAACAACCTGTTTTATGCAAGGTAACACCTCTTGCAAAGAAGAAAATGAACATTTTCACAAGAGCACAGATTTAAATTTTCTTCATTATATAATGTTTCTCTACAAAACTGGACACTGTGTTGGAGGTCACTCTAACTCATGATAACTGAAAATCGGTGACTTAGGTGTTTTTAAGACAGAGCTCACAGGAATAAAATGAGGTTAGCTGTGGGCAGAATGAATTGCTAAAGAGGAGCCTGTCCTAACAACACCTGTGTTTCTAATCGGGAACCTCCTTAGCCATACAACCCTGGAAAGTACTCAAATTTGTTTAAGTGATTTTTTTTTTTTTAGATTTTATTTATTCATACAAAACTGAGGTACAGGCCAGAGATGCGGAGGGTGAGAGGCTTCGCCAGAGACAGAGTGGGGAGCAGAACAGGCAGGTGGACGAAGTCCACTGCTGAGGGGAGCAGCGGGCGGGTCAGGAGAGGTCTGCCTCGCCATGTGGTCACCTCCGGGGCAGGCGGGAATCGAACTCATGCGGAAGTGGCTTTAGCTTCTCAGTGCTGTGCTTTAACCCGCTGCGCCACCAGGGAGGGCCCTGGTTAAGTGATTTTTAAATGAAACTAATTCGCTCATCAAATTCATTTTTAGCTGTGATTTGCTACAACTGGTAATTATGAAATATTTCTTACTTTTTAATCAAATATGAGACCTAGCAATTTAAAATAATGAAATCAATATCATGGTGCTATTTTTAAAAACTAACAGTTCTGAATTTAGAATTTGCTAATACATAAGAATGGGAACTAATTTCAGGATAGGCACTAATATTAAAAGAAGATGGACTACTCAGCAGTTTTTGAACACTGGTCTCAACTTCATCTGATTCTTCCGTTTTTTTTATCATTTTCTCTGACATATTTAACTTAACATTTATAAAGGAAAATTTCCATATTCTTTTAGCTAAGCTTTATCCTGCTTTGGAGTGAAAACATTACGGTAAAAATCCAGACACAGATGGAAAAAGCTTTTAATTGTCTCTGAGAGAAATCAAAGGCTACTTCAAAAATGGCCCTGTCATTCACTCACTGATTTATGCTTTCAGGAAATCTATACCAATCCCTTACCAAATGCCAGGCACTGACTAGGCATATGGCAGGCACTTTTCAATGCTTATGCCACAACCACGCCACTCTTCACTGCTAACCCAGAGCTCCACCGATGCCAGGGAGATAAAATCAGACTGGTCTCAGCCGGTTAAAGTCTCATGCCCATAACGACAGGTTTACTCTAAGGGTGAACCAGTTCTCCCTAATGGTTTGTAAAGGGATGCAAGGGACCCTCACTATTTGTAGATTCCTTACTTATGAATTTGCCTACTCATTGAAACTCTCCAAATCATAGAATTTCTGCAGTTTGCAAACAAGTATTTTTAGTTCCTGGCCCAGTGAGTGCCATGTTTTTCTCGTTTATTTGAGCTCTTCATTGATGATTTCGCTATCTAAAAAGTTTGCAAACAGTGCTGTAGTGCTACCTACTGTTTGCAAGGTAAGTGAGCTGTGATGTGCCTTCCAAAGAAATCGCATGTGTTAGAAAGGCTTTGTTCAGGATGAATTAAGTGCTAGCGGTTATGGGTTCAATGTTAACTAACCCACAATATATATTAAACAAAGTGGCTTTAGACACAAACATACACAAAAAAAGATTCGGTATCAATTA